TACTTTTGTTATTTTCAAAACAATGGACCAAAAACAAATTCTTGTTTTGATTTTACACTGTTTCTTGCATGATCATTTGACTCTGAGAAAGCTATGTTCTAAATGGGTGTTACGCGAGCTCACTGTTGACCAAAAACAAGAATGTCTTGATGATTCTGAGCAGTGTTTGGCCATGTTTAAATATAATAAACCGGAATTTTTGCATCGATATGTGACAATAGATGAAACATGGATCCATCACTTCACTCCGGAATCAAAACGATCGTCATCTGAGTGGAGATCAACTGGTGATCGTCCTTTAAAGCGCCCGAAAGCACAACAATCAGTTGGAATGTGCGTTGTGTAATATTCATCGACTATCTTGAGAAGGGAAAAACCATAAACAGTGAATATTATAAAAATTGTTTCATCATGACAACGCACCGTGTCACAAGTCAATCAAATTAATCAATTGCTCCCACATCCATCGTATTCGCCAGATTTGGCTCCCAGTGACCTCAAAAAAATGCTCGCCGGTAAGAAATGTACTTGAATGAAGAGGTTATTGCTGAAACTGGGGCCTATTTTGAGGCAAAAGATGAATCGTTATACAAAAGTGGTATCGAAATGTTAGAGCGGCACAGGAATGATTGTGTGGCTTTTAATGGAGATCACGTTGATGAATAAAGCCAATTTTGAACAAAAATAAACGCGTTTTCGTTCTGGGGCCCGGGAGTTTTCGGCACATGTGTTCAAAGTTGTGTAATCAATCAATCAATATATGCTTTATTGTCGGAAGATTAGTATCTTATTGACATAGTCTTGTAAAAAAATTAAATGAATGTCATAAAATATAAAAAATACAATAAATGACATAAAATATAAAAAATACAAACATAGCAATTCCACAAATAAAACATTAAGAAGACAGATGAGTTTAGGTGAACATTACAGGTTATCATGGTAGAATTCATGGATCGAATAATAAGCTTTTTTGATTAAAAGATCTTTAACTGTACTTCGGAACTTTTTGATATCTGTGCTATTTTTTAGAATGGTAGGAAGGTGATTATATACATTAATACTTTCATAAATCAGAGAATGCTGATTCAAGGTGAATTTTGGAATAGGTAAGCAAAGCATATGGTTTTGTCTGGTGTTGTGACAATTTGTTCCGGGAGTGTACATGCTAGTTTTATTTTTATGAATGAAACATACTGTTTCCATTATGTATAAACAGGTGACAGTTAATATTTTGTGGCTTATGAATAAAGGCTTGCAGTGATCTCTCGGCTTAGACTTTGTAAGGTATCTCACCACTTCTGTAGCTTAAATATCGTATTCTGTAACTGTAAATTACAATGGCCCCAGAAAGCTATTCCATAGCTAAAATGAGATTCGATCAGTGCCAAGTAAGCATTCTAGCTGTAGTGTACCCTAGTTCATTTGATATCACTCTAATAGCATAACATCCACTAGATAATTTTTTACTCAAATGGAGAGAATGGGAAACCCTCTGCCTCCCTTTTTAGCTAATTTGTACATGAACAGATTTGAATTGAAACCAAAATATGAGTTGGATTACTTTCCACGCTTATGGATCCGAAATGTAGATGATGTATTTATTTGCGATTTTTGACACAAAGAAATTTGAGGTAGAGGACTTTGTCTCAACAACAGATCTCTGATATTAAGTTTACTCAACCAGGCTATAGAATTTAATGTCTATATGAAGAAAACCAGTACTTTCAGCTATATTCCTGATAGCTCACACAATTCTGCACATCACAAAATGACAAGTAAAAGTAAAAAAATATATGATGTTGAGAAAAATTTTATGAGGAACATAGCTTAAAGCAACAGGTATTCGTCTAATATAATAGATACTTTAATCAGGAAACGTAAATTCAGGGAGAATCTTAGACTTTTCGAAAAGACATTGAATCGAAGTTCATTTTCCTCTCCTACGGACCAAGATACACTAACGGATTAGATCGCATTTTTAAGAAGTTTAACATGAAATAAGTCTTCGAAACTTCTTGCTCACTTCACCATATGTTAGGTAACCCTGTAGACAATATGTTGGACAATGAAAAGTCGGGGTTATATGATATATGAAATGAGCTGTGACGATACACTGTTAACAAAATGAATCGGTCAGACTAAGCAAGTTATTTAAACTCGTTTAAAAGAACACGTAGCATATATCCGATTTCGGGGACCAAAAAATGTAATGTTGCTCAACACGCCTTGAAGCATTGCCACAGAATAAATGAAATTGTTGAGATTCGTACATGACACTAGATTTTTTGATAGTGTCGTGAGTCTAGAAATAAAGTGTGGCATGATAACTGTGAACAGTGACAAAGATATACCATTACTTACAGCTCATTGTTTGCCTTCATCTGAATCGCTCTATTAAAATTAGCGGGAACTTTCACGAGAAAATGTACCACTAATTTCTAGGTTAAATAATTGATATGTGTTTGAGAGTGAAATTGTACAACCAGTTTCAAAGTTATAAGTTAGTTTACTTCATCTCCTGAAGATACTTAGTTGGTTGGTGAAAAGCGCATCAAGAAGAGTGTTACAGTGTTTGGGAACAGTACCTATTTTGATAACCCATAATGTTTAAAAACTCAAATTAACCAAAAGAAAAATTTGTTCAGGCCAGTCTCGACTTACCTACACTGTAGGTGAATGGACTGACACCTATCAGAAAACAACTTTTCCGCTGGCTAATACCACGAAGGTCGTTGGATTATATCCAACAGGTGTCAGTGCAAGAATCTTTACAGAAGTATCGCCTGCATATGCTGTTAGCAATACCACTGCTGAAATCGATTTTCAATTATAGGAACGGGCACACTTGCAGACCGGTTTCAGGTAGTGGCAATCATCAACCTAAAGTTGATGATATTCCATAATTAAAAATCAAATTCCGTTCAGAGTATCATTCCTCTAATCAAGCTGCAGCTAGCAAACAACATTGTCATCATTCCATCTGGTAAACAAGGTACTAACCAACCGTCTATCTAGAATTCGCCCAATTCCTCGTATAAGGAAAGAAACCACGACTTATCTACTCTGTAGATTTAAAAAGTCAACTAGCATCTAGTTAAGTATGCATACAACGAAAAATATTGAGAGATATTATCAACTCTTAAAGAGTAGCAGGGAAAATAATTTCTCGGTCTGGACCATTTAGTTTCTGTTTACCTTAACAAATTTAAAACAGTTAGTTTTCATTGAATAATACAACAGATGTATAAAATACTCGCTTTTGTTTTATGTGCCTGTTTTTTTTTAATTCAGTAATGTTTTTGAAACTGTATACATGAAACCATATCAAAAGTAGGTTGTCCCTGTTGTTCTGAATATAATTCCGAACATATTTATAACAAATTGGTTAAGGTTTTTGCGGCCGAGGTTTTCAGTGTCACTATTTTTCGGGTTTGAAGGCCGTGGATTTTAGGAATTTCTTCCTGACGTTTAATATCCGATGAAAGTAATCGATTATTAACTCAGGATGTATAAACCTCTGAAGAAGCTAGCCACTCGCGTCAGCGAAACGTCAGGAACATATTTATAACGTTGATGTATATGCAAAATTTCTTCAATTCCCATACATTCCTTGGCACAAAATCAATGTGAAATCCAATTTTCCCACTATTAATAAATTTATCACTTACGCCACTGAAAAATAACAATTATACACTTGATCTGAATTATGTTCATGCCATCGAAGCGTGATTTGAATTATTTTCATACCTTTAAATTGGAAGAGGTATATTTTTAAAAGATGATTATTCATTGAGAAAGAAAGGTTTCTGCTTTCTACTTCTCCATCTTGATACAGAAAACATGTGGGAATCTTCCAAAGAAAGGAAGTATGTCTGATACCGCAACTATGCAACTCTCACATCGCAACTATGCAAGTTGTAGAAAATAAAAATTTCAAAATCAATATGAAATGTGAAAACACAGTTGAAAATCATTTTTTCACAAGATTAAAAACAAAAACACCCAAGGACCCGAAATCCAATATTATCTACAAAATACCATGTGCTGAGTGTGAGAAAGTATATATAGAGCCCTATATATACTGTTTGCCCTATATATACTTTATATAGGGCAAACAGGTAGGTATATAAAACAAAGAATGATTGAACATAGCAGGAATTGTAATAATATACACAACCCACTGAAAACAATGAAAAATCCCACTAGCCTTGCAGAACATTGTAAGCCATCACTTCATACTTTTGATTTGAAAATGTATACACCTCATATTTCAATCTAATAGAAAAAATATTGCTTTTCTAGATGTGTTGTGTATAGAAACTTTAATCACAGAGCTACATACTAAGCACATGAGAATTTTGAAAACCTAAAACTTATAGAAACTATGTTACTTAAGAATTGCTATCCTAGATCTTTGACTAAACAATTAGTATATTCCGACAGCAAATACACAAAAAAGCACCTTTGAAAATATTTCAAATTACCGCATGTAGCATGTCTGATACCGCAACTATGCAACTCTCACATCGCAACAATGCAGGTTGTAGAAAATGAAAATTTCAAAATCAGTATGAAATGTGAAAACACAGTTGAAAATCATTTTTTCACAAGATTAAAAACAAAAACACCCAAGGACCCGAAATCCAATATTATCTACAAAATACCATGTGCTGAGTGTGAGAAAGTATATATAGAGCCCTATATATACTGTTTGCCCTATATATACTTTATATAGGGCAAACAGGTAGGTATATAAAACAAAGAATGATTGAACATAGCAGGAATTGTAATAATATACACAACCCACTGAAAACAATGAAAAATCCCACTAGCCTTGCAGAACATTGTAAGCCATCACTTCATACTTTTGATTTGAAAATGTATACACCTCATATTTCAATCTAATAGAAAAAAACGAAGAATAATTCTGAATCATTAACAGACGAATTTTTTTATTCTAATTCTCATTTCTTTCTTGGGCCTTTTTTGCATTATAAAGAAACGATTCACGGACAGTTCAGTTTGTTAATTTATTCGTGTCTGTGTCAACGTTTTTCGTGAACCTGTGTATGTATTTATATTTTGTGTCGAATTTATTTACTCCACCCTTTTTGAACTCGGAAAGCCAACCTAAATGTAAGTACTCAACAATGTTGTTTTCTATAAAGTGTTCGAAGCGTTTTATTTTTCAACGATTGTTATTTCACATAATTTATTTTGTTTTTAACAAAACTACATTCTAAAATTCTATTTTAATATGTATGTATGTATACCAATTTATCAATTGGTTTTCTTCAACATTTCGACCAAATTCCCACCAACTTGACAATTGAAATCATATTCAGCGGCGACCGTCCTGTTCAACTATTTCAAATAAATTCGGAATTGCATTCTAAACAACAGAGCAGGACACAGTGTATAAGAAATTATAACCGATCAATTATGTAGGTAAATTAGCTCTTGTCTATAATTGGAATAGATATTATATTGAATATTGAAAAATAATTAGTACACTCTTACTATGGAAGAGTCCAACATTTTGTTCAATCATTAAAACATGTAAACAGAATCATTATGTGGCCTTCAAGCCCTGCTGATGATAATAATTGGTTTAGGTTTCACACCAAAGTGAATTTTTGAGTTTTTTGGATTTTTATGTAAAATTAAGTCATGTAGTGGACAGAAAAGGATCCATATCAAATTTTTCAACCAACCATTTAATAGGCTGAACTACCTACTCTCAAAAAAGTCTGAAAAAATTATACACCAAACATTATTTCTTAGTTCATTCAATATTATGTGCAAAGCTATCTACATCTTAATTTTATTATCCTTATTACTATCAAAAGTAATGAACAAATCATACTAACAAAATGCTGAACTTGAAAATTTGTTTTATGTTTAAAATATAACAGTAGTCAGTTTTTTTCCAGGTTAGGATGTGAAAGTCGAAATCCAAATTCAGGCGAAATGCGATGGAGGTTTTCCCCTTGTTAAAGGAAAAGTATTCCTGAACATCATCCGAAGAAAAAGTCGTATTCATAAGTATTAGAAACGAGCTTAAAGAAGGAAGAGAAAAACTAATTCAGATTTGAAGTTTGTTGCCTATCGAGGTGAGTAAATAGATAAGCTCAAGTACATATTTTATTCTCATAATATTCAGCAGTCTGAATAATGCAATGATCGAAACCTGTAGTTTATCGGAATGTCACATTGTAATTTCTTATTGCTTGTAAAATCTATAGGTACGTAGACATAATCATATGTGATAATCTAATCGGCCCGTTTTTCTTCGAAAGTAATCTGTATGGCTTTATATTTTTAGACTTTTTGAGAAATAAGTTTTGAACCCAATACATAACTTACCAGTGTAGGATCGCCTGAATTTGAAGTTTCAGTTAGATGGGTCTTCTGTACATAATGCAGTTATTGTAAGAGGAAGGCTGAATAATAATTATGGAAATCGATGGATAGGTCGAAATAGTCCTTACATTGAGTGGCCTCCAAGATCACCGGACCTGACAGCGCTAGATGTTTTTCTTTGGGGTACTGTGAAGCAAAAAGTTTACAAGTCCAGACCGCAAGTCAGTAGAAGAACTACGCATGAGAATATCTGCAGCTTCTGCAGAAATTACAACATAACAACTGAGAAAAGTTGTATAGATTATTAGAAGAAGGTATGACAAGTGCATTGCAATGAATGGCGGATTGGTTGAAACAACAAAAATTTGAACGTTCATTCCTGTTTCTGTCTACAATAATTTGTTGAATATTATTTTTCATTTGTTTTATTTGTCCAATGATTAATTGATCAAAATGAATATGTTCATTCGTTTATTTAATTTGCCACATAGTTGTCAACGATCACTCGTTGTCAACGATCACTCGATGTTTATTTCACTTTTCAGTCCATCAGATACTTGAATTAATTCATAATGAAAATTTCTTTGATTTGACCACAGAATGAGAGTGTCCAGTCCAATGGTGATTTTGAATATTTTCTAAAAAAATCGCTAATAAAATTTCTTGTATTTTAACCTTTAAAAATATTCGCAGCAGGTCTTGGTTTTTGTAGAAAGAAAATATTTTGTCTCAAAGTACAGTTTTTTGAGCTCTACAATTCAAAATAAAGTTCTTCGGAATCGGAGAAAAGATGCAAATTTCACGTAGCTGGAGGAAAAATTAGTTTTTTATCGACCAAAAAGGTCGATATAAAAAAATATGTACTTGATTGAATTTGCTGTTTAAGTTTTCTTTTCAGTTATAATGAATATAATATTTCATAATAGAAAAACAAATGAAACATTTTGTTTATTCTCTATTTGTCTCTTTGATTTTTAGGAAATTATAAAGTTTTTGATTTGTGTCATGTTTCGACAGGCAACTTCCATCTGGAAATACTTAATTCTGTTAGATTTGAGTTACTTCATTCATTGATTTGTTAGACTCCGATATTCAATTTGTCAAAATCGAACAAAAATTAATTTATTTAACATAATTCTCACACACAAATCAAATATTTGCAGAAATAAGTACTCATAAATTTTTTTAACAGGATGTGAAAATGCTATTGCTTTCCAACTGAAGTGGATTCTCCGATTCGTCTATTCTTCTGGAAAGACACAGTTGTATCTGATAGGTACATCAATGGAATTCAATTAGGATACAGACATAGTAACATCAATTATTTCAGAGTGAGTGAGTGGTGATGAAACTTCTTTGAGGGATATCAACAGTAGTGGATTTGTGGAAGAGTTTGATATTGAACCACCATGCCTTCGCTTTCTATTTTAAATATCCATCAAAATGTTCAACAGGAAAGATTATCATAAATGTTCACCCACATGAATATAGTACATATTTGTTAAATTTTTGTTTTTATTTTCAACATGATTTTCCTCAGCTTGGTCTCTACAGTGAATACATTAAGGTTGAAACAAATTCAGTAAAACCACAATATGGCCATTGGGAGAAAAAGCTCAGACACGTCAAGTTTCTTTTTCAGTTACACATTTGTTGGTCGACGCATGTTTTTGATGTTTTTATTGTTATATTTCATCTATTAGATATGTGAACTCAGTTTTGCTCAAATTGTGTTTCTGGGTATTTGTGTTTATGAATTGTTTATTTTCTTTCATTCTTTGAAGTGCTATACATACCAGATTTTTCAAGCTTTGTCAATAAGATTGGATTCTCTTGGACAATAAAGTATTATGTCTGTCTCTCTATACTATTCATAAGTTATTTAGTTTTTGTCAGGAGTAGGCATAAAAATACATTTTTCATTTTCCAAAACTATTGTCTACAAGTATGTAAGCTTTAGCTTTCCTTTTCATCGACTAGACTATTGTTTATTGCTTCACAGGAAACTATTATGCTGTTTCGCAATTCCTCCTCAGTTTGAATTGGTTGACTGTTCAGCTAAGTCGTGAAATGTCCCCAAAGAAAATAATCTAAGCTGTTCAAAGCTAGCTAGACATGACTCTGTTCCCCCATGACTTACTAGCAGTTGTGAAAGTTTTGGTTTGAATATTCGCATGCTAGAGCACTTAAATGAGCAGGTGCACCACCGTGTGTAAACCACATGTGTCTATTTTTGCTCAAATGCCAATAAAATCCTATTTAACAATGTGCTTATTAGTATCTTAGAAACAAAAATGTATATCCTGTAAAGTTTTTCCTTTAAATCCCTCAAATCTCTCATCACATCAAAACATTTCATGATAGGTTGACGTCACAAGTATACTAATGGGACGCACTTAATAAATGCATTTTTCAGCGGTGACACATTTGTACTTTTACGATACGGCAACATACAATATTTGTGGCAGTATTAACATCCATGTAGAACTAGAAACCAATGAATCAAACATGATCAACAACAAACATGATTTCAAAGTTAACCACAAACCAGCCCATACAGGCACAACTATCAATAACCATTCTAATCAACATAAACTAGTAGTTTACCATAGCATGGCACATAATTTTATTGAGNCAAAGTGTCATTTATAACCTTTTTCGATACCGTGTTTTCTTTGCGGGGAAGGAAAAATAACTATGTTATTATAAAAATTATATTTAATAATACATGTCTACTATTCGTTGAAAACAGGAAATATAAATGTTTCAATCACCATGTCGGTCATTTAAAACCTGGTAGATTTTATCAATCTTTTGTTGGAAAAATTTATTGTATTCTTTAAATTCATTCGATATGTCATCCATTTGGATTTTCAGGAGATCCACCTGCGTCTTACCGAGAAGGTCTTTTTTGAGTCCATAACTGTTGTAAGAACTCAATCTCGATAAGGAAGGGGAAACCGTATCGTAATAATAATCCGATTTGAATTTTCCATGTTTCCTATTCCTAGGCCTATCTTTCTTTTCCACCACCAACTGATAAATGGCCCGTATTAAGGGACGAGGTATCTTCTCTTCTCTGGGATCATTAGGGCGGATATACAAAGCCCAGTCATATTGAGACTTCAGCAGTAGAGCTGTCTTGTGTAGCCACCCCATCAGTTTTTGGGGCACCCATGTGAGTAACCGGGAGAAAAGCATACTCTCGAGGTGTGCCACAAGCTCTGCCTGGCGCACTAGTCTATCCAAACCGGCACTCTGTTGCAATCCCTGGATATCGCTCACAGCAAGTCCCACCATTAAGTTTGTTAATATTACAGTAACCAACAGGACGAAACACAAATACATCAACTGGGCTGTGTAAGGATACTTGATACCCTGGTTTTTATCTTCTGGGAAGAAATCGTCTTCGTATTCCAATTCCCCCGACATCATTATAATTACTTTCAAGAGAACCCACTTGAGGTCGCTGAAAACCGGGTGGTTGGCGAATATCACACCAAAACTGAGCGAAAACGCTATGAAGAGACAAAAGTAAGCCAACATGAATTTTCCGAAGTTGACCGAAACTGTGGTGAACATCTGAATGTACAGCCCAAAAATTGGGAATCGCCCCACTATCATCATCAGCTCGACCCAGGACAAGAAGATAGATATAGCAGCGACGTGGTGTTCCCAGTTGTAGACATCTTGTCTGACGCATACAAAGACGCTGATGATTATCATCCACTGCAGCCAGTTTTCCCACTGTTTCATGTAAATAAACCAAGAGTGGGCTATTTGAAACAGCTCCTTTCCTAGCAACATCATATTCAGCAAAATCATGACATACCCAACGTTTCGCGTATAGTGTGACACCCAACACAGCTTTCCGCCTGTCTTCGAATAGGGACAGTCGTTCAGGAATGCGCCGATTACGTAAATCGTGAAGAGACATACGAACAGGGAGTGGTAAAACAGACTGAATAGAAAGAACTTCCGGATCCGTCTCCACTTCAGGAAGAGGAACGTCGCGCACAGCGGATGGTTGAGAACTTCTTTATGGCCGACTTCGATAAAGTTCAAGAGGAGCTCCGTTTCCTTGTTGCCCATAGTCGGTACCAGAACGCGAAAGTCCAGCTTGAGTTCACAGTCTACATCGCCCAGTTCGTGGTCGGTGAGTTTGATTGCGTTGTCGAATTTCATAACGTATCTCGTTATCACATCAGGCGTTTTCCTGATTATGAACGTCAGTACTGAAACACCTCCTTTGGTCCTGGCAGTCACATCGCCGCCGTTGTTTATCAGCAGCATGACGCAATGGGGGTATTCGTTGAGAGCGGCTAGGTGGAGCGGCGTGTATCCGAATATGTCGGGTTTGTTAACGTTTGGTCCTGCGCACAAGAGCACGCGCACGCATTCGCAGGACCGCGATGCTTTCACGATGGAGCAGTGGAGAGGCGTCCTTCCGTCGGAGTCCGCAGCGTCGACATCGGCTCCTTTGCGTATCAGTAACGCTATGGTTTCCGTGCATTGGGATAACGCTGCTAGGTGAAGGGGTGTTTGTTTCTTATAATTTTTGGCACCGATGACGGCTCCAGCATTGATAAGAATTTTGACGCATTCCAGATCGCCATCTTCGGCTGCTAAATGTAAGGGTGTCATGCGTTCTCTGCCGCATTGGACATCCACCGCAGCGCCGTGTTCTAGGAGTAGCTTCATGGTGAAAGAGTGGCCAAGAGATGCGGCCACGTGCAGAGGAGTCTCACTAAAGACCTAGAAACGAAATTATCTTAAAATATTGAACAGAAGTCATTTTGTGTGAAGGAAAATCAATTTTTTTTTGCTATCTTTGGGTGTTTTTACCTTCCACAATCGTAAGAACAACCTTTTCATAAAATAATATCGGCACAAAGAAACTGGATGGTGGAAAGACAAAGGAGACACAAAGAGTCTCAGGAGTTTGGTGGGATTCAAAATCTGATGACCTCTTGATGAAATTCAACTCAGTTGTTTATAGGCAGAAACTCTTTACGAAAAGACATGTTTTGCAAATCGTGATGCTTCGTTTTGATCCGCTGGTCGTCTTAGTATATTTCACCGTAAAATGAAAAATATTGATGCAAGATGTATGGCACTCAGGAATTGGCTTCCTCAGATCCTTCAAGGTGGATAAAATATCTCCATACTCGTACACTTTCTGAAGTAAGAATTCCACGATGTTATTCTGTGAACATACCATGTGCTGATTCGATTGAGCTTCATAATTCACATGCAAGTGAAGAAGCCTTTGCAACAATAGTGTATGTTAGGACAGTATCGATGATAGGAATATATGTTTCTTTGATAATATCGAAAACAATAGTTATCCTTATCAATACTTCGATTAGAGTTAGAAGCTGCTGTGATGCTGTAGCAGACTGTCACTCAGTACACCTATGTGAATCTCTGGACTGATTCCAAATGCGTATTGACTTGGATACGAAGTGAAAATACAAACATTTTGTCCCTCATCGTATGGGAGAAATACAAGAATAGACAAAATTGAAGATTGGAGATGAGTAAATACTTCAGACAATATAGCAGATGACGTTACCCGAAAGGAAAAAATATCCTAAACATATTTTCAGATAGATGGTTCTGTAGACCAGATTATTTGTTGAAGAGATCTGAAAGTTCAAGAGATGTGTCAATATTTATCTCAAATGAAAGTGGAATTTGTCGCCTTTACATCTCATATGTAAACAAATATCATCTGTTCGATATCAAAAGATTTTCAAAGTGGATACGATTAATAAGAACTACTGCCTAGGTACTTGAATTTATGAAAAATTCACTTTAGAAAATCGAAAGGACAGAAACTTGCAATTCAGGAAGAAGTAGAGGAGGCTGAGAAATTATGGATAAAAGAAGTACAAGTTCAAAGCTTTAGAAAAGATATATGCACTATCAAGAAGGAAAACATATTAGACAAAAAAAGGCGATTGAAGAAATTGTGCCCCACACTATCATAAAAAATTTGGACATCAGGGATTAGAAATGATTCTCAATGCATTTCGACAAAAATGTTGGGTAATCAACGGAAGAGCGGCAGTTAAATCTACCTTTGAACGTTGTTTGATTTGCAGAAAATCTAAAGTAATTCCCAAAAAACCAAAAATGAAATGGGACAACTTCCTTCGGAAATAGTTAGTGTGACTGTCGAAGAATAGAAAGGTTGCTTTTAGTCTAACCACAGATTCATTCATTCGAAGAATGGTGAACCAAAAATCAGCAAAAATATTTTGTGATAACGGCACGAATCTGCGAGGAGCTGCGTAGGAAATTGAAAAAGCAATTCAAGATATGAATGCTTCAGCAATTCTTGATGCAATGACTGTTGAAGGCATACAATTTAAATTCATAGCATCGCTAAGTACAAATATGGGAGGATCTTTGGAACAACTTATCGAATCAGTGAGAGAAGGCAGTGGAACATTTGCAATTATTCTTAATGCTTTTTTTTGTAATCGGAAAACATTTATTGCAGAACTGGAATTACCTCATAAAATATTGCCATAAGAAATTCTACTATGAATCAGAATAGTAAATGTCAAGTAGAACATCTTCATTACAAATCCGGTTTATCTGCCTCAGAAGGAAAATATGGGACGATACAGTTTTACATAGATTCTCCTTATGACTAGTCCAATTTAACAAGTCGTCTAGTTGGATTCCCAAAAGGTTCACAGAACTTCCAGTTCGTATATTATTTTGACTGGAGACGGTAATGGTTTAGTTTTCATTTCATTTAGTGTGAGGTTATTGTTATTGTACCATATTCCAGCTTTGTCTTCAATTTTGTTGATGGTGGTGCGGAGACAATCAAAATACGCAAAATGGACAAATGATAGCGATAAGCGAGAAAAGACGAACTAGTCATCATCTTCGAAGACAATATTCCAAGAATTAATTGGAAGATTCTCCTTAGTAGAAGATTCTACAGTTTACCTGCTGGGTATTTGGAGTGGCATTTCTCTGCAGAAGTTCCCTCACGCAATCCACCGCGTTGCTTTGGACCGCAAAATAAAGAGGACTTTTGTTACTGGGGTTATTCAAACCGGCGTTGACATCAGCTCCGCTATCTATGAGAAGTTTGAGGCAGTCCAAATTACCCCCGCCTGCGGCACAATGCAGTGGTGTGATTTGCTGACTGTTGTCCCAGATATTCACGTTGGCACCATGACCAAGGAGCACCTTGAGGCATTCACTTTTTCCTGCATAAGCAGCTAAATGTAACGCGCTCCTGTAAAATAAATAATGATTATCTTCCTGGCATAGACAGAAATAATTTCCATAAATAAAACAATCGTGGTGTATTGCTAGGGTCAGTACCCTTTTGAAAGATCTGTAGAGTTTGCGGACTTTCAAAGGAGTTTATGAATAAAAAAAAATAGAATTGAAAAATAAGGCTTGAAATTTGATAACAGTATGAAAGGTTCCTGGTTATAAATGAAAGTTTTCATTATTTTTGATAGCGAAAGAGGAAGTCAATATGTAAAGAGACAAATGCCCTCAGAATAAAATGAATGAGAGATTTTTGTATGTTTCTTTGTGAGCCATTTTCACAAGATCCTGTCATGACTTTTTAAAGAAAATATAAAATTTACAACCGAATAGGTGGTTCGGGAAACAGTAATGAATGAGTTTTTGCAACAATTTTCTGACTCATAGGATTTTTGCAAAATGAAGAACAACTCAGTAGCACTTGTGCTAACTGTGTGTTGTACTTCGCCTTTTGTTATATCAGCTACAAGCTCTGTAATTTATCTAAATATTTGTATGTAACTACAGCTGGGAAACAATAAAGACGATTATTATTATTATTTTTTTTGCCCGTAGTGTGCGCATGTAACCCGAGCAAGCGCAGTGAACCAAGAATGACAGCCTTCTGCATCTGTGCGGCAAAGATTTGTGCCTTAGTACGGCAAGTCGGTACGATTTTAAGATTCGAGAGTAGAGAGGGCTTAATTCCACAAAGGAATCCAATAATCAGAACAAACATCTTGACAGAGTGATCTGGATAGAGTCTGCGGAGTTCGAAGAGAAAATCTCGATATTTTATCCGTTTTGTTCTCCTCTTTTCTGACGATATTTGTCTGGCCAGGAGCTGAAAACTCCACGATAAATATCGTTTTGCTCTGGTGGCCGAGAAGGACTATATCAGGCTTATTAGCTTGTATGAGCCTCAGGGTGGGGAACAAATAGTTCCAATAAATTCGGCACTTCTCGTTCCCCACAACGGATTCAATATCCCCCGGAGCGTAGGGCAACACCGGTGTCTCGTCAATACCGTAAGAAAGTATTATTATTATTATTACTAACTGGGTGCTAGATGGCGCTAGTCTTATTACATTCATTGCTTTTTCACTTAGTGCTAACCTTCAAAGGAAAACACAACAAACCAGAATGTTTTTGTCGACATGTGACAATGGATGAAACATGGATTCATCACTTCACTCCAAAATCAAAAAAATCGTCATCTGAGCACAACAATCGGCTGGAAAGGTTAAGGCCTCGGTTTTTTTGGGATGTACGTGGTGTAATATTCATCGATTTTCTTGAGAAGGGAAATGCCATCAACAGTGAATATTATATATTTTATTTCATCAAGGCAACGTACCGTGTCACAAGTCAATCAAAACAATGGTAAAACTAATGAACTAAACTTCGAATTGCTCCCACATCCACTGTATTCGCCAGATTTGGCTCCCAGCGACTACTGGCTATTCACAAAACTAAAAATATGCTCACAGGTAATAAATTTTGCTCGAATGACGAGGTTATTGCTGAAACTGAGGCATATTTTGAGGCAATAGATAAATCGTTCTACAAAAGTGGTATTGAAATGTTAGAGCGGCGAGGAATGATTGTGTGACTCTTGATAGAGATTACGTTGAACAAGAAAAACGCGTTTTCTCTCGTAGGCCCGAGATTTTTCAGTCCATGTGTTATTTTCTTCCATTCTGTTGTCCAAGAGGTCGTTCAACAATCGTAGGTTTTTTCAAAATGTCAAGTGCTTAACAGTTGATTTTTCTAAAATTTGAAATGAAGGTGCCTTCAAAAAATAAAATTTAGTGTCTTGTTTGTAAGCGAGATATTAGGGATTCAAATTTCCGAGAAACATCTATTTATTTTCATTTAAAAAAGTAGGGATAAAAAATTGGAACCATATTATTTCATAGCACAGCGTGAATAATAACTTTTCTGAATAAAGAATATACTTCACACTAAATAATCTTCCTCAAAGAAGAAAGAATTTACCTGCCATTCTCATCTGTTGTATCCAAAGAAGCCTCTGCTCTCAAGCACGCAGTTAACACATTCAGTTTTCCTAACCAAGTCGCTAAAAGCAATGTAGTATCTTTGTTCTTTCGTATTGCTGTTTGAATGTCTTCTTTGGAAAAGAGTTCATTTATATCTTCTGCATCGGGAAGATTCTGCGATAGGAAAGAAGTGTTAATTGTATTGTTATCTCGTTACCTAGCATGCAATTACAAAATAATACAACATACAATATTTGATCCGATTGCCAAGATTCAAGTATTCATAAAAATTTTTAAAAAATGGATGAAACTGTTTCACCATTTTTCAAAATATTCGCTTTCAAGATGTAGTTGACTGACTGAAGTTGACATATCAAAAACATGGTTTTGAAAGGCTTCTCTTTCGAATAATAAATTCAAGAGACACGAGAAAATACCATAAAATTCTAAATACTTATACCCTGTTTAATTTTCCGCTAGTTTATTCAGGTTCAAGACTTCATGAATTCCTATAGCTATCAAAATATGAAAATTTTACGAAAACAAAACGAAAGTAAACGGTAAGACTATTGGATCTATCCGGAATATAAAAACTGTTTTCCTCAAAACAAGTCCCTTGTCCCCTTCATGTAATGGGATTGTCCGATACTTTATGAAAATCCGTAACGTATTCAAGTAACACATTATTGTGTAACTTGAAGAAGTTACTTTCTTATGATCTACAACATATACGAGGGCGGTGTGAAAAGTTTTCGACCTAACAAAATAATTGTTCTCGGAGGTGATTGCTTCTTCATTTGACGAAAATATCTGTCCTCCGAGCGAAATTTTTAGATGAATGAACAAAAATAAGTCATTTGGGGCTAGATCTGGTGAGTAAGGTGGATGGTCAAGAAGTTCCGCAAGTTCTGACTTCAGCTTCTCAAGTAATGATGCGTGGTATGCTTCTGTGATGTTTTTTCTTTTGAAAATAATGATCAAATCAACTCTATGACTATCCCAAAAAACAATCGCCATCACAGCCGAAAAAACAGTTTTTGCTTTTTCTGGGGCCGGTTTCCCTTTGCAGTCAGTCCACTGTTTGGACTGCGGCACACAACGCGCAGACAGCTTTTTCATGCCTTAATGTTGATATAATATGTGACAAATACGTTCTTTTGACATGTTCATAATGTCTGATATCTCTCTCACTTTAATTCGGCGGTTGTCTAGCACCATTTGGTGAACTTTGGCGTCGGTAGTTGCAGTTTTTGGACGTCCCGAATATACATCGTCTCCCAAGCTCTTACGGCCACCTAATAATACACGGTCAACTAATAGTAAGTCGCTTGGGGCTAGATCTGGTGAGTAAGGCGGATGGTCAAGAAGTTCCGCAAGTTCTGCCTTCAGCTTTTCAAGTAATGATGCGTGGTATGCTCCTGTGATATTTTTCCTTTTTGAAAATAATCGATCAAATCAACTTCATGACTATACCAAAAAACAATCGCCATCACTTTCCCAGCCGAAAATACAGTTTTTGCTTCAGTTCCCATACATGCCATACACTGTTACATAACAACTACGCGTCCAAATTGACTGAAACTTTAGTGACTAACTGTCAATAGATGAACAACGAAATTCACCAGATTTTATTTACGAAAGCTGCTATCTTCATATTGAGGTCGGAAACTTTTCAGGCGTCCCTCGTATCCACAGGAATTCGACAAAATAATTATCGTATTGGTATCAAAATGGAAATATTAATGGTTCGAAATTGTCAAAACACATTCTTATATCGATGATCATAAATTTAAAAAAATGTGAGCCGTCACGAGACGCCTGGCACATGTGAAACATTAATGATAATATTTTGTGACCCCTGTGATCATTTTTGGGTACTGAAATGTTTATAAAAAATATATAATTGAAATTACGTGAAAAAATTTTAATGTGGCTTAATATACTAGTAGGTTAGGTCCAAAGTGAGTGGGTCTATTTACACTCGACCAAATAAACCCATCTTCTTAATGAAGCCGATTAGTTTGTATGGTGAGTTGTCTTTCAGGTCAGATGGTAAGAGTAGGTACGGCTCTGCTGTTTCATCATTTTCCAAACAGGCGACACACCCTGTCTTCCGACAGTCCGAGTCTCTGCATATGATGATTCAAATGACGGTGACCTGTAAGAAGGCCTATTAGACATTGTAGTTCATCCCTACTGTCCTTCAACAACTATTTGGTATCAAGCTTCGAAGGGTGAATAAACGCCTTGAAGTGAGCCAATCCTGAAGATTCTGCCAGAAGTCCATAAATCTTCTTGCCATCCAGGTGTGCAATCTTTGTTTGATAAATCCTAAAGCGATGCCAATGACAGGTTCTGGTCCGATGAAGCTCTCCTTTGCAAGGGAGTCAACAGCCTCATTGCCTTCCAGGCCAGTATGGCCAGGAATCCAAAACCGGAGACAATCTGTTAAGTCTTCCTATCGAGGAGAGTCGTTTTTGACAATTTGCTACCAACTTAGACGGTGCTCGGTAGGAGCCAAGAGCTTTCAACGCTAATTGACTGTCCAAGAATAATTTTATTGACTTGTGTATGAGGTTGGATTCTTCCAAGTCTCTCCGCAAACAATTAAATAGTGTAAATTTCCGCTTGAAATACAGTCGCATAGGTTCCTAGGCAGGTTGATATCTTTGTCCTGGGTCTACGACTGAAAACACCTAGATCAGAACATGAAGGCGTTTTTGATTCATCTGTGAACCAACAACCATCTGCTCTTAATATTTGCTCCTCCCGGAGGAGAAGTAACCCAAGAATCTTAACTAGTTATTGCAAAAGATCTTAAATTATAAATACCAATAATAAATGTTTCAATATTTAATTTTAAAAATCAATTAGTAAAACACAGGTTATGTATACTGTAGTAAACACAACTGAATACACCATAGGTATGCGAGTTCAGTGTGGCGAGAAAGATAGTGTAACGCTGAACCAGTGGGAAGAGAATCGCACAGTCGCTTGCGCATAGCGACCCGTCCCCACGCCAGAAATTGATTTAACGTGCGGCTATAGATGTTTCACATCAAAAAGGCAAAAAGAAGAAGTAATCTACGTACATTGTTTTATCAATAAGTTATTGTACGTCAACTAATAGATACAACTAAAAAGCAAAAACACTTCCTAGATGACCTATCTCAGATATACTAACTTAGGAAATCATCGCACAATAATTTTTTCAATTTTTAACAGGAATAAAATGTTTGTCAATATCTACAAAACAAAAAGTAACAAAGAAAGTTCTGAATAATAAAGATATCATGTTTTATAATAGATATTTAATTGGCGTCCCAATTCCCTATGACCAAATCCCGATACATCATACCAAACCATATGGAGTCTTTTTTTTAAATATGAGGGACTAAAGAGAAAGCTTGAAGCAACATTTTCATGTTAACACCTGTTAAATCAAAGTGTCATTTCAATATTACATACCAAATGTTCCCACAGAAATTATTTGATGGGAACATTACTTTATCACCTAATTTGCATAAATTAATCTCACCATCAAACTGTCCCATATCGAAGTTGGGTTCCATATTTCTTGACTCGGATTTTCCCTTACCCTTCGTTCGGTATCAAATTCGGAACCTGTTTCATCTTCGCTCGAAATGCTGGAAAAATCACCCACTTGTTTTTCTATATCTTTTGACCATCTGAGCATATTCATATCGTCTCCCCCGCTAGCAAGAGGTAATTTTGTCGTTGCTTCCATACCAGCATTGAGGTCCTTCGTCACTCACCTATAGATTCACAATTCATAATAATCAATTGGAAAAGTATGGTTTTGTTACCGTTAATGCAAGATAAACGACACGACTACTTTATAAATTACAAAAACATATCTACTCTATGCCGTTTTCAATGGAGAAGTACTGCAGGACTATTTTTAGATTATATTTATTTGGAAAAACGGTCTCAGGAAGTTTAATTCACATGAAGACCATTATCCAAATCAAATATTTTTAGTGTTAGGTTCGAGTATTGAATTAAATCACGAGGCAATGGACAGCTATAGTTTTCTACGTACCCTGCTTTTGATGGATTAAGCTACCTTTATTATCCCGGTAAAGGAATTGTGCCAAGCCATATTTGTATCCAATTTGATACCAAAAATGTATTATCACGGCTAACGTAATACCATTTCAAAAAAAAAAGATGCCTGGATTTTCTTCACATCAAATTGGTTCGTCTGGCATACCGTGGATGCACTGGCAAGCGCTCTGGAGTTTGAGGCTGCAGAGCCATGGCAAAGTTCGAACTATCGTGGAAGATGGACAGATGCCTGCTGATATTGAGGCCACCATAAGAAAGGTAATAAAAGAAGTGTTGCTCTGAGAGAAAACAAATAAGATGCTGGAACTGTGGGAAAATTGGGCATGTGCGTAGCAAATGTTCAAGCATTCAAAGAACCAACACCAAATCAGGAAAACTAGAGAGGGTCGATGAGAAGGGCAATCGTCAGCCTGTATCCAGCAAGCCCCCGAAAAAAACGCAGATGCCCTGTCACGGAGACCATGTCCGGATGACTGCTCACATTACCGACTAGAACAGAATTCAGAAGTCGGAGGAGTGCTACAGTTGAAGAAGGGCCAGAGAAACATTTTCTACTTTGTGACAAAAAAGCATTCTCTAGTCGAACCGTTCTATGAAGATGTCTGGAGGAGTCTTACCAGACTGAAGGACACGATGCTCGACCTGAATCTTGTGGATTTGGCAATCCCGAAATTAACCTCTGGGATCGACAGGCTGGTTTGGAGAATTGTGAGAAGCATGTTGGAAACGATACTCAGATCCAGCGGCATCAAGATTTTGGTGTGCGGTAACCATCTTCCACGATCGAGCATGAAGATTGTGGAGTGTTACTTCCGTCGAAATTCACAGTGCAGATATGGAGAGTCCTGCAGGTATTGACACACGCCAGACAGACAGTTAATTCTTTAATTTGTTACAATACTATACCGCTATATCACTTTACAAGTGTTTCGCTTCTGATCAAATTAAATCAGAAATATCCACGACTATTTCAAGCACACAACAATCGAATTTTCGCCAACATTTTTCGAAATATTTCCTCTCTAACAAAATAACTAATCGTTGACTCTAGTATATGTGAAAGATTTATTCGACCCTCGTTAAATGCCTGCACGGTGACTCATCTCTTATTTTTTTTCTCGTTGATATGGGCGGCTCCTTGACTATTCGCGTTTACAACAATACTTTCATTTATAAATATTTTATAATTTGATATTATTATCTACTTCCTATCAGATATAGAGGTGACTTGTCACATTGGTAGTATGAATCGCTACTTTCGCACAGGGTCCGCTTTTGGAGCGCCTTAAGGTTTTTCCTGAGTTGTGCTTGTGTTTTGTCATTAAAAAAAAATACCCAAAAGAATTCTCTTTCGACCGGGTATTTTTCTCGCGAAAATTCATGTTGTTGAAGACGGATTGATTTTGCTACGTTACATAGATGACCGGACTGCGAATAGCTGTATTACACCTTGGTGACTCTGAGTCACCAAGGTGTGTGTGATAGGTGAAACTGAATCTACCGATTCAATTTCACCTATCATCATATTTTTTCATAAAGTTTTCGTGAAGATTGAAAAAACGATTCATTTTGTATATTCTCTGTATTCATTTAATTTCAGTGAATTACTTTTATCTGGTAGGTACGCTTATTTTGCTTGAACCTTGTAAAGTTCTCTTAAAATTTATTAAAAACATAACAACATTGTTTTGTTTTGAAACGTTTCTGAAAACTTGCACCGTACTTACTCTATAGCTGAATATAAACTGTATATTAATGAGCTACTTTTAGATTGTTAAATAAACATACAGTGGCGGCGCGATCAGCTTAACTAAATGTTTTTAGAAACACTTCATACAATTTTCATTGTCTTGAATCACCTTATGTTGAAGCTTTCTGATTTGACGAATATTTTCCCATGATACCACGCGAGTAATCAAATCTATACGAAAATATGTGGTCTAAAGGACGTTATTGACATAAAAGTAATGAAAAAAGATATGAAAATTTCTATGTTTTTTACCACTTTTATTTGTAACTAACGTTGTTATAAATGAAAGTTTTCATTATTTTTGATAGCGAAAGAGGAAGTCAATATGTAAAGAGACAAATGCCCTCAGAATAAAATGAATGAGAGATTTGAAATAAAACAAACATTGATGGTTCTCAGTGCAGTTACATAAAAGTTCTGCAACACTAAAATTGCACATATGGTTATTTAAAACCGTCAAATATTTTCAACATGGAGTAGATGAACATGATCTTGCTGAACGATAAGAAAATGATATTTTTCCCTCTTTTCTCATACGTTGTGCATCAGACAATCGATTGACTGAAGCATATTCGAACGACAGTTGAACATGATGTATAACAACTATTATTATTGAATAAAAAATAAAAGTCATCTATTTAAAGAAAGGCGATATTTTCCTGTTTCGTTGGTGTCGAAGATATGTTACGAATGAAAATGTTATTGTTTAAGTTATAGGCGATGATGGATGTATGACTGAATAGTTGGTTCATTTCAGATGAATTGAGGGCCTTTTAGCATTAACTCTAGAAAAATGGTCTAGATGTCATATATTGAACATCAAGAAATTATACATTGGCCTGCCTAACAGTCTTCAGAAGAGACATTACTTGGAAATGATAATAATCACAAATCATCACAATATCTGATATATTCCATTGCTTTCTAAAAATACATTTTTGTCTAATCGACCCAACATCGTATCTTCTACCGCTCCCGAGATGGCAATAGTGTGCAATTGAATTCTCGTCACACGGTATATATAAATATATTTGACATTAGTAGCTTTATTTTTAAACGGGAGCAAACACATGAAAGATTCATTATTATCATTATTATTTCCATCTTGTCTATAGCAATTGACCATTATTTATATTACCTACACTAAATTTTTTAAAATAACTAGGTACATTCAGGAGAAGGTATTCTTCATGTTTTTCAACGAACAAAAAGCAATAAATTCAACCTGTTTGTTTAGTTGTTTTCCAAATTACAACCCCTGCACCCCCACTGTTGACACTTCGAGAGACGAACAATATGAACTCTTCGCGGTATAAACGCACATTGGGAGAACCAACCCTTAAATATAAACACTTATCATAATTGAACGGGAACATACACAACCCTCTCTCTCTGTTTATTGCCATCAATATGTTGTATCAACGGAGACTAATTCATAAAACTCAATTTAATCACACCTGCAGGGTGCAGTGTGTTCTAAAGACTATACTGGGCGTGTTGATAGCTTGTTCTGCTTCGATATGTAGGGAAATTGTGGATAGGTAGGTATACATTTGGGCAAGAAACGTTTCAGAGATTTTTTGCCGTCCTGGGGAGTCGTCCGACTTATCTCCGGAAAACACTGCAACACCATGGACTTTTTGTTGCGTATTCCGACCCCTTTCTCTTAAATGGCACTCATTTCAACAATCTTGTCTCCTGTACTAGTTTCTAGTTCATACAGGTTTCTTGTTGAATATTTGTCATATGCTTGTGAACATAATGTTAGTTTTGTAAAAGCTATTTTCCGGTTTTTTTAATGCCGTTTAGAAAGTTCTGAAATTCCGAGTATATCCGGAGATATCCCGAAAAAACAGAAATTTCAGAAAATGGTTTTAATTTTTTTTCCGGCTTTAGTTTTCAAAGGATTCGAAAATAAATTGCACTTCCACATTGCCACTTCTTCCCTGCTATATAAAGGTGTTTTCAGATTTGCTATACGACGTTTCGTCTTCCAGCCACCATCATCAACTTTATTTTTTCTTATGGGCGCTACACTGCTTTGAATAGAACCAGATTTTATCTTTTCAATTATGTATTATAAGTTATCATTATTTTTAAAAAAATTGGAGATATTGAAAAAAATTAATTCTTATCACAATAGGCTTTGACTTTGATGTTTCTAAATTTGACTTTCAATTTGTTACACTCAATGAAATTTTGTTATTGTACAAGTCATTGAATTTTTGGCGAAAAATGGCTTTTACGAATGAAGAAAAAGAGATATGGTCCAAATTTATTGCAAATACGATAAAAACAGTGTTAGGAAATCGGAAATGTATTTAAACTTATATCCCGAAAGACGACAACCACATCGAACCATGTTCAACAAGTTATTGGATCAAAATCTCACAGAGTTTGGTTCGTTTGGAAAGCTAATGAAAAATAGGGAGACAGAATCACCAATCAAAATTTGATAAATGAGGTGTGTGTGAGGTAAATTAGACATTGTGTCCTTTCCTCAATATTTTGATATTCCCTCTGACCATAAACTCTATTCTTCAGTGTACCCCATAAGAATTTATTCATAACACTTAAGTCTGGATATCTTGCCGGCCACCTCACCGGACCATTATTTCCTATCCATTTATCACCAAACCTTTCAGTCAGGTAATTGTCAATTCAACCATCTTCGTATCTCTCATAGTTTCCGAGATCCCAATGGTGAGGATCCATTTTGAAACACCCTGTATAGGTAAGGCATTGCAGTCGTCGCAGTTAAGCTTGCTGACTCTGAATTATTTATAATTGTAATAATTTAAAATATCTGCGGTCTAAGGGTCTACAAGCTCAAGTGTGACGACTGCAACGCCTTATATATAGGATAGACGGGCCGCAGTTTTAACCAGAGATTCGAGGAGAATTTGAGAAGTTACAGATCGAATAAACAAGATTCCAACTACGCCAAAAATCTTATAGAAAACACTCACAATTTCACACAAAATCCGGAAATTCTACACATTCAACCAAAAAGTCTGAAATCCAATTTATAGAAATCAAAAAATATCTTGCTAATAAAAACAACATTGTTCTGAATGATCAGATAGATATTTATAATTATCCAAGCATCCATAATGTTATTAGTAATTTATCAAATTCCCGATGATACGTCTCTCTACCTATAACGCAACTTTCAGTATTTAAGGAGATAAAATCATATACCTTCATATAACTCGCTCAGAAGATAATACAGTGTGTCGAAACAGCTGTTGGTATTAAATGTTATTGTTGTGTAAATTGTGAAGTATTATTTTCACCGTATCCATTCAATTATAGTACGTCATATATTAACCATATATTTAAACCAATGCGGATGCAGGAATATCACAAAATCGTGACAACCATATCCCTTCTATTCCCTAATTTAAAAATGAGAATTATAAAACTGTTTTTTCAGACATTTCTGTAAATCTCCGAGAAAACCGGGGGTATATTAAAAATATAAAACATAGGTCTTGTGGGTAATCAAGCACATGATTTTTAAAAGAGACTGGTGTTACATCACTCGGTCAATATGAAAAAATCACTTCTTAACCCTGTATAACCATTAAAACATCCTGAATCGTTACGTCGTCTCATTGTAATATCACTATAGATTCTCTGAAACACTATTTCTATAGTGACAAATAAAATAGACACTATCAGCTTTATGATTACTTTGCACTTACCAAAATTGTGAAATATTCTCTATATCCAAAAATTAGACAACTTTACATTTTCTGTATTTCTTTCTTACACTATACTTGTAACCCATAAAAAACTTCTGTATACAAACATGTTTCGTCAACAACTCAAAGATCCGCTTATTATTTTCACGCACAGAAAAGCGGTCTGCCAGACGGATAACAAGCTAGAACTGATGAGGTTATACCGACATGCTGGAATTAACTTGAGAAAGGTTATTTTTAAAGTTCACAGAAAATAAGCACCAAGTATTGAAAGTAGTGAAATATAATTTTTGAATGGGAATTCATTATGATTGGGAAATTTGGGTCAATGTATATGAAAACGTTTACACTATTGACACCGCCGCGTGTGTTTTATTTTTATTTCTTTTGGAAGTAGCAATTTAGGAAAACGTGTTAGTCATTTCACCCGAAACAAAATATTTTTAGCGAGACTTAAAAAGTTTATTATGAAGTGACCTTTAGCAGTCTCACCAACAAGGTTGTCTAAATACTTTATGATTATTAAAAAGCCGAAAGCTTCCTTATGAAAGTTAATCATTAAAAGTGTAACTTGTTTTTTTACAGTTAACATGCTTAATATATTTGCATCCAATACTTATTGATACCAATTTTTGATATTGTTGACGAATTTTTTACATAATGAATAAAATTTGAAATCTTCCACCCGTACTATCGTCTTTCCAGGAAATGATATGAAAAATCTGAATCTTTTTTTCAAGAAAAAGACTGTTCTTTCCACGATGATCTTTTGAGTCTACATGACAGTATGCCACTGAATGGAGCCTGTAAAGTAATCAGGAGTTCGGATCTCCTTCTCTGCATGATACGCGACCATGAGAGCAGAAATTGGAGCATTTCTTAGGGCAGCTGTCGAAGCGGTTGAAGAACTCGGTTTAATTTTCGACACCGAACTAGCTGATCACAACTCTGTTACCGAGTTGGAACCCTTTCAGCAAAACATATTACATAACGCGACCCCAAGATTTCTTTATTGCCACCTACAGCACTTCTACAGGTGCGTATTCACCAAAAAAGCGAGCATGAGCGAGCATTCGTGTATGTTTGCTCGTGTTCGCTCATGTTCGCTCGTGTTTGCTCGACATATTTATGTCTCGTCCACACCAGAGCGAATATCTTCAAGTTCGTAGTCGTAGTTGATCCATCTACTTTGTGCGAGCAGTGCGTGCGCGGTAAATATGTCTGAAGGTTCGTATTCACCAAAAAAGCGAGCATGAGCGTGCATTTGTGTATGTTTGCTCGTATTCGCTCATTATTGATGCAGAATTCTCGTTCACTCTTGTTCGCTCGTGCTCGCTTTTTTTGTGAATACGCACCTTAAGGTGCGTACGCACCTTACAATAATAAGAGTGAACGAGCATTCTGCATCAATAATCGTCTGGTGAGTACTGGCTAGCGAGCGAGCGAACGTATGCTTGTTCGCGTTCAGAAAAAATCGAGAAGAAGGCGGTACATCAAAAAGTGCTCGCACAAAGTAGATAGATCAATTTCGACTACGAACTTGAAGATATTTGCTCTGGTGTGGACGAACATGAGCGAACACGAACAAACATACACGAATGCTCGCTCATGCTCGCTCGTGCTCGCTTTTTTTGTGAATACGCACCTTCACTGTATTGACCAGGCAACGCTGTTGCCCTACGCTCCGGAAAATATTGAATCCGTTGTAGAAAAGTGCTGAATTTATTGATACTATTAATTCTCCACCCTCGGAGTCATACGAATTTTCGGTTTCCATTTTGTTAAATTTATCAGTATTTGGATTATGTTTTATCAAATATATACCTACTCAAGGTATTTGACCAAGTTAGCATCATTAGGAGATGACTAAATCATCTCCTGATACCATACCAGGCAGGAAAAATATTGAGGTGGAACACATAATGTACAGATTCTCCTGTATAACTATAATTACTTTTTGCCCGTTTGAATTTCCAGCACGTAAGTTATTAGAAAATCGATAGTCGCTTCAAGCATGTTAAGATGCAAATGATCTTTCAGCTAGAGGTCCGCAAGCTCAAGTGCGACGACTACAATGCTTCCTTCAAGAAATGAAGGAAATGCCTTTCCAAAAATACCAGCTGCAACAATTTGTGGCCACTGTGTATACCCTTCTCAAAAATGTTAGTTTTCGTCACTCCACAGTCAGTTTTGTTTATTTACAATGGCATTTTGAAAAAATTAACAAACGGAAAGTTAATAGTGATATTATGTTAACTGGGATATCCTTATCAAACTCCTGAAGTAATTGCGTATTTTCTCTGATTTTTTTACAGTCTCGCATGACATCCATCTGATCTGGTACTGTTTGTGTACTCCAATTTGAGCTTTTTCATTCAGTACATATTTCTTTTCGGAAAAATCAAGAATGTATCTGTGACTTGCATCGCGATTTGAATATTGATGACAAAAATAAATGTCCACATTTCATTATTATGCAGGGTCCTTCATTGAGCGCTTCCTATCTTTAAATTTAAATAAAACAAAGTGTATGTGAGATATCACCGAAATTTCTCATTCGTTTGAAAAACCTACTGATTGTGTTCAAATGTCCGACACGGCTTCTCTGGCATCTGAAACGTAAAATTTTCCATGACTCTTGCGCAAAAAAAATATTCCACCATTATTATATATTGTATTTTACTTTATATATATATATATATATATATATATATATATATATATATATATATATATATATATATATATATATATATATATA